ATGTTTGATCCATTTCTGATTAGCATGAACAGTGTCTTACTCCTCCCAAAAATAAATAAATAAACAGAGTCTTATATTATTATGTCCTTCGTGTTTCAGTGGGATGTTTCAACAAATAAAGAAACGCTTAACAGGTTTGGTTGTAGAATCAAGGGATTGCCACATTTGTAAACTTCCTTCGTCCAACCACATGGTTCCAATGATCACCACCTACCCTCTTCTTGATGTGATAAGAAAAAGTATAGCAATGCTCCTCGCTAAATTTATGGAGTCGTCCATTTTTCTTAGTAGATAATTGATTTTGACATGCAAGAAAATTAAAACGATACATAGGATGGATGTGAATTGAGAGAATAAAAAATTCTCAAATTACAATAATCTTTTTCTTCAAAAAAAAAAAAAAAAAGATAATCCCGCCTACCCTCCCCCTCTTCTAGTAACTGTCTTTGAAAGGTTAAAGGTCAAAATTGGCTATATATATATATATATATATATAGAAAGGGATTTTATTACACAATATATATCATTTGGAGTTCATAAAATTTGTTCTATATTTGCATCGTGTTGAGAGTGATTTACATTCTAAACAAATAAACTTGCATTTTATCAACACAACGGTTCATCTACTAACCGTTCGAGCCCGAAGTCCTCCTCCCCACGCACGCACAAACCTCCTAGGGAGTATGTATACACATCGTCAAAACAATCAAGGTAATAATATATCCATAAATAGAATGGAGCACACTGAGTACGAATCCTCTTCAAAATTTTGGGTCTGAATAAGGCCCTACAAGCGCTTTCCAAGCCCAACTTCTGCCAAAAACAGCCCATTTAAGTGGTATTTAAGTGGAAAAAAGTAAGAAAAACAAAATACTACTACAAAAGACGACACAACAACGCTCTGCCTTTCTTGCGTGGAAACCCATGATTTGTGTTCGCCCCAAAGTCCACGTGTCGTCCGACCGACAATCACTAAAAGCATTAAGTGTCGGTCAGTTTTTTTGGTAAAGTTTGGTCATTGGATCTGTGAAACTTTGCCCCAATTGGTCAACTTTTCAAACCATCTTTTTCTGGGTGGCGGGCGTTGGCGCAAAACTATTAAAGCCGAATACTGGCCGTGGCCATGGGACGGTTACGTGTCTTTGACTAAAATTAAATTCCAAAGGGTCGAACCCCCTATAAGAGAAGAAGACAAAAAGGGTGAAATGAAAATCCAATTGAATTGAAGGCAAGCAAAAAAGGTAAATGCTACCTCATCATGCAAAATTATTTTGTAACCCCACCAACCAAACGAAAACGAACCAAAGCCATACATTTCATCCTACCATCCTTTATTGAATGGTTTGTTTGTATGTTATCTTTTTTTTTTTTTTTTTTTTTTTTTTTTTTTATCATCAACACAGGGGTGTCCGGGTCAAGACCCGAAGGCGGCCCGACTATCTTTTTTGTTTGTATGTTATCCACTCCCCACTTTTTCCACCAGCCAAAGACGTCTGCTTCAGACAAGTAACAGCAGCAGTAACACACGTACAAACACACTGATAAGGGGCTCGAACGATTTTTTGACAAATCGTTCAGATCGATTTTATGTAAAATTTACAAGACGTAATTTCACATGCACACAATGTAACTCATTTTTTAATAACGTGTAATTATAGAATAAAATTTTATGAATTTCAAAACGCAAGCAACCTGAATCTTATATATATAGATATATATTTTTAAACAAAATCTTGATCATGAAATGAATCTACTGTGCAACCGTTGCTGTCCCACCTCAGCAAAAACACACACACACACTCATCTGGGGTTTTTGGAACTGAACATAACAACGGCTATATTTTCTGCAGGACATTGAATGATGATCTTCAATCTTCATCATAAAAATAAAATCGATCCATCTACCAATGTGTCCATCCATCATCAGTCAGACTTTTTTCTTTTCTTCGGTCAAAAATCGGTCAGACTTTTAGGACACTTCACTTTTGATCAGTAATAGTAGACAGACGAGTAGTAGCTTCACACTTCTATTACGTTTACGGGCTCCGTAGCCGTAGGTGGTACTGTAACAATAATAATATATCTGCCACTGTTGTTATAGGGACCTGTAAACGGAAACCAACCAATCAATAATAACGTCTCCCTGTTCTCGTCTTTTTGGATGGATCCCAAAATTCCAACAGCCTCCTCCTCTCTACACCTTTCTTTCTTTCTTAGGATTATTCTACTTTCTGATTCTTATTAACCCTTTTGCTTAATTGGAGTTTTGGCCACAAGGATCATTTATTTCTTCCATCATTATCATATAATCACTTTACTCATTTGAATGTCGCGTCCCTTTTTCTCTTTGCATGGATAGAGATGTATCCACACACCCACCTACTTCGGATGGTACCCCCAACCAAACACAAACATTAGATTTCCCATCTGCTGGCAGTATCGGGCTATCGGATAAGAAATTTTACCCTTAGTACCCACAAAACAGTTTCAATGTCATATTACGAGTTTTTTTTGCCAAAATAACCTTTTTTTTCAAAAAATATTCCTACAATGATTCAACTCCAAATTTTATTACTAATCTAATCTTCTGACCTTATCCCCTAATAAGGAGCAGCCTCCTCCATGCTTTCTAAATCAAATTCTTCAAACTCAATCAAATTTTCGTTACAACCATTATTAACATAGAAGGTTACAGACCGACGAGTATCCATTCCAAATAAAAGCATAAGACTAACTGTTTTCCTCAACCCAACATGCTATTCCTCCCATATATAGCCACATGCACAATGAGTTCCCGTTCAATGCAGTATGACAAAATCAAAACTAAGTTTTGTACAATTGATTGAATGGAGAGAGTGACGGAAAATTTTGAATTAATAATTGATGGAAAATTTTTGTATAAACATACTAATAATTCCAATTTTGCTACATTTGTAGTGAGCTTTTCCTTTTTTATTTTTAATAGGAAAGAGAGCATCAGAAACAGAAAATTACCGCAACTGGAATGGAGGTGAACAATCAAAATTCTAGACTTTGCTTTCACATTTAGTGATAATTCCAGTTTCCCTAGATTTGTAGTGAGTTTTTCTTTTATTATTATTTTTTTAATCAGAAGGATAGCATCACAAAGAGAAAATTACTGCAACTGGAACGAAGATGAACAGTCAAATTTTAGATTTGCTCTCATCTTTGAAAATATTGTCAGGTTTATTTAAATATTCAAGACTTTTGCTCTCATGTTTAGAAATATCATCAGATTTATGTTAAGTACTCAAGACTTTTTTGGACAGTGGAGTGACAAGTAAAGTCAGAGTATAGTATTATAGTAAAAAAAGAGAAGATAGATTCAGAGTAGAATACTATAGTCATGTAAGGAATTTTTGGACTATATTAATGGGCTAATGAAGGGTTTTACCCTTTTTCTCATTTCCATTTGATTTTGATCTGATGGATAACAGAAAAAGTTGTTATGGGAATAAAGTATGAAATTGAATCATTTTTAGAATATTTTTTGTGAAGGGAGTTATTTAGGCAAATAACTCGTCATATTACATCGTTAGGAGTGCTTAATCTTTAAAAGTTCTCAAAACTTGAAAAGGTCATAATTGTATTTATAATTGAAAATTGACCAAATGTTTTCATCGAAGGGGTGCTTTAATGTAATCAAATATTTGAGATAGATTGCTTAAGACATGCTAAGGCCGTGGCATTATCAGATCAAGGAATGAAAGAGTAAAGAAAAAAAAGGAAGAGAGAATAAGGGGGTTTGCATGACTTTTAATCTTATCCCAGATACACTTGCCCTGTAAATCTTTTTTTTTTATATACTGTAATATGAAAATTATTGTTTCAAGGTTCTTTGACCAATCATCAAACCACAAAATAATTAATTATCAATCAATAAATAAAAAAATCAGATCCCACTAATAATTACTGGAATTGCCATGACGTCCATTAAAATCTCAATAGTCAATAGCGACACCACTCAATAGTCAAATAGCGAATAATAGAATAGGCCAATAATCAAAGGAGTAAAGATTAGAGTCCCGCTGCAGGGGGCCTTTTTTTGTCCGAATCAAACAAAATGGAAGGGCAACCCAAGAATTCATTGCAAAAGGTACATACAGTCGCTCAGGACAGGACAGCCCTATCTGTCAGCAAGGCGCATGTTAGCACCGACCATCATCATCTTCATCATCATCGTCATCATCTTCTGTCTATCATCCAACCTTGTGGACAAATTCCCTTTGCGATGGTGATGACTTGGAATGGAGATTGGAGGTTGGTAAGTAAACTTAAATGCTTACATGTGATTTTTAAAAATGAAAAGTGGAAAGAAGCCCTCGACCACAGGGCTTCTTCTGCCTGCTCATAAAATCATATAAAGCCTCTCCCCTCAATTAATGGCCATAACTCTTATCCAAATTACACCGCCCCGTCAAGGGAAAAAAAATTTGGATCATCTATCAAAGGCTTACAAATAACCAACTTCCTTAAAAGGAGTTAGCCACCACATAAATTTTGCGTGAGAAGTCAAGGATTCAAACATTATTGCATCATCAATCAAAGGCTTACAAATGCGGGAGGGGTTTGATCACATTCTAGCCTAATCTAAGGAGAGTACCTATTCTAGCCTTATCTAAGGAGAGGGATAGCCGATGGGATTTTCTTAACGGGATTTTCCCATCGGAAGAAGCTATAATTAAGCCACAATTAAGTAGTTACTACTACTATATACATACAAGGATATGATTAAAACGTGGCATTAGTTTTTGGTGTAGAAGTGTTTTTGAAGGGAAAAAAGAACAAAAGAAATTCAAAGAATCAAACGGGGGACCGTGCATTTTTGCAGTAATCAATCGAATCAACGACCCTCCCACCAATAACTTGATGAGAAAGCCGACCATCAATTAAAAACACTTTGGCACTTGGCTGCTCTCTAGGAAAATGTACATGTGTTATAGTAAATAACAAGATTGACTACTGAACACCACCACTAAGAAAAACAGCCCATTAACAAATGACAAATCAAAGTACAAAAAAAATAACAACAACAATAATAAAGAATTTTTATTGATGAAATGGTTGAGCAATGATAAACATTAATATCAATAACATCATCATCATCATCATCATATCCATCCTTCTTTCACTAACCCGGTTAACTACCCACCAGACATGACATCCAATCTCCCTCAAATGGCCTCCAATGGTTTTGTATGTATCATTCACCAATATGTACATGTACAGGATCCGCTTCTAAAGCCAGCCAACCCGGCCAGCCATGTCTCTTTTTCTCTGGCTAGAATTCAACTAAACAACTTTAATCGATTGTACATCCTCTCTCAACTATTTCTACCCTCAACTGGAGGAGAGATAATATCAGGAACACAGGCCAGGCTATATAAAACCGGAAAAGATATGAACTTAAAATTTCGGAAAAATGTAAGATCGGTAGAAAAGATGGAACAAGAGAAAGGATGAATGAATGAATAAATGAAAGGGCAAAAGAGAACTAAGCTATCTTTTTGGATCTTTCTGGCCCTTGCCTGACATTGACATCTAACAAGATTATTATGCCGTGCTCTGCTTATGTCACAGGTGTTCAGCAGAACTATATGGCAGGAGGAATGACCGTTTGCACTGAAGCAGGGGGAGCTGGGCTGGAATGCAAAGAGGGAAGCACAAGAAATGAAGAAGAGAAGCTGGAGTAAACATTCTGATCTTGAATTTAATTACTGTAATGCCTCACCGAGGACTCCAACAGCTCTTTACTAGGGCATATCATCTCCTTCACCCGGCGACCATTCTTATAAATCTTGAATGTAGGTACAATTCTTACGTGTTCCGCATTAGCAATTGCAGGGCTCCCTTCGACATCAACCTTCAGTCAACAATGAACGACAATGTAGGTTTTGTTTTCCAGTCAAAGTATGTGAATGCACGTAACAAGTTTGCTAATTTTATTTTCAAGGCAGGGAATGTTTCAGAAGCATTCAGGAAGAATTGGCAATATCTACAGCAATGGCAGTTTGTACCTTGAGAAAGTTTATGGACGGATATTTCGCACATAATGCGTCTAGGACTGGAGATATCTGCTTGCATTGTAGGTTTGATGATGCTAGAAAATGTACAACAGAAGCACCTGCAATGTTCCAAAAAAAATTTCACGTAATTGCAGTAGTAAACAATGCACGTACAAGCTCTAATGCATAATCAAAAGGACGCTAGTGCCAGAAGGCAGAAGCTTACAAGGTGAAGAAATTGCAGCCCGAAACTGCTCAAGACAAGAAACCGACTCAACTTCCCCACCAAATTGCATATTGGAAACATCTTCTCCCCGGGATTTCTTTAGGGCAACTTGTGCATGGAATAGCGCCTCAGCAATTTCATTATCGTATGCAAGTTCCCTTCTCAAAACCTCATAATCTTGCACAGCTTCAGCCCACCGTTCAAGCTATAAATAACAATATCAAGTCACACCTACACCTATGTGATTGCAAAGCAAATACACGAATGCAAAAAAAAAAAAATGCTCTAGCGTGTTTAAAGTGCATGAGATGCAAAACAAAGGCAATTCACCTTGCTATTTGAGGCAGCCCTTCGAAGCAATGCTTTAGTATAATTTGGCTGGATACGCAGAGCTTGGCTGCAGTCATCTACAGATAGCTCCCATTTTTCAAGCTTAAACCAACATGCTGCTCTATTGCACAAGAGAACTGAGTTTGAGGGATCAAGTCTGAGACCTTCCCCATAAGCTGAGCATGCTTCAGTATATCTCTCGGACTTGAATAAAGCATTGCCACGGGAACGAGCTTGACTGACCATCCTTATATTGCTGAGTAAAACAGAGACTTCAACACTCCGAGGATCAATCTGCCCTGCTTTCTCAATGGCTGTAAGTGCATCTTCAAACCTGAATAAATTTATACAAATCACAACCCATGTAATCCATAATTTCACTTTCAGATGCGGATAGTTTGGGCCATACCTTCCAAGCGCCAACTCCAGTTGAGCTCTAACAAAGGGTAAATATGCATCAGATGCTATTCCGAAAAACTTTATTTGGGAGTTCAAATTGTCTGATGTATGAAGTCTGGAAGTGCTTGAAAGACTTGAATCAGCATCATCTATTCGGTGCAGCTTTAAAAGGGCTTCTGCTCTACATGCCAATAGCTGCCAATTCAATTAAACTGTTTCAGTTCAACCAATTTCCTTTTCCTGTCACTAGAACTTCTCCAAAAGACAGAAGTTTTAAGCATTTTTTTACCTGAGGACAACTATCAGCTCCAGAAGCAATTGCAGCTTCTGCTTCCCTAAGCACATTTTTCCAATCACCAACTCTCCGAGCATCAGTGCACCTACTTAGGCGCTTCTCAATAACTTGCAACTTCTGTAGCTCAACTGGATCTGTCTGGTGCCCTGGAATACAAAGGTGCCTCCTGGCATTTTCAACCTGTCCTAAACTGCGACCCTTACAGGAATTAGATTGCTTACTGCACAATGCAGGATAAACAATGGAAATTCCAATAACCTAAACCACAAAAGGAAAAAAGGCAAAGACCTCAACCAGATTTAAGATGGAATTAATTGAACAATAGTCATGGCTGACTGACTTTTAACCCCCCACAACTGTGTTCCTTTTGGAATGATTTAATAGCAAGTACAACTTTAAGATGGACTTCATTAATGGGCAGGTTCAATTCCAAAATGTTGAATTATTTTTTTGTCAAACTTACAATACGGTAAACAAGTAAAGACTTTAGTGATTTAAAGTGAAATGAAATTCACGCATAAATATCTTAAGCAATGACAATCTACTCGGCATTTGCTTCTTCTACAAGTAAGGAGCTAATTTACAACCCAAGTTTCTTCCCATCTTCTAATGTACTTCGAACTCATAGGAGCAGATATGAAGTGCAACATTAATCCAATTAGAAGCATGATGCACTCAAAGACACTAAGAAACAATCACAGCACGAGATCTTTCAGACAAATCAGATCTGACAAAGGACGTGGATCACACTAAAAAAAAAAAAGCAGTAGAACGAATAAAACAAGCTTAAAAAAGCAAGCAGCCCTTCATTATACGTCAAAAGCACAAAAGTTCAGCAAAGAACCATATAGCAACTGCAACACTAACATAGCAAACAAAACGAAAGATTTGAAATAACACAAAATTGCAATTTGGCATAACCAATTAACAGAAAAACAAATCAAGATTTTCACTTTCTTCACCCAACTCACCTAACAAGCAAAGACCCTAACCGATGGTGTGCCCTCACGTATCCTGGATCCAACCTAATAGCTTCCTCACATTCCCTCACTGCCTCTGGAAACCGCTTCAGACTTATCAATGCAGCTGCTCTGTTGCAATGGTAAGCAGCATTACCTGGTGAAATCGCAATGGCTTTATCATAAAGAGTTAAAGCCTCCAAAAAATAACCCTTTTTATAATTCTCATTTCCTAATCTTTTCAACTCTTCTGGATCATTACTATTCAACAATCCAGCCCCACCCCTTCTTGTTGGCTCTCCAACCATGAGGCCACCGCCTCTTAAATTTGTCGGTGCTGGGCTGGCAAGGCCCACACTTTCTCTCTCCCCGCCGCAACCAACGGCCGATTTTGCTCCGGTGCCACCCCGCATTATACTTCCGTGGCCGTAATTACCAGTCCCGGACCCCAACACATCAGTCTTGGACGACCGGCTCGCCATGCCAGTCTTCAAAATCCTGCCGGAAGGGCAGATATTCCCGCTGGGAAGCACATTGACCCCCGGCGAAGTAACAGAGCTCCCACTCCCACCGGAGTATATCAAGGGGTGGGTCCCACCCGAATCTGATCGGGAATGACCCGGCTTAAATCCCCGGCCACCGGTCGGAGAACTCTCCGCCGTGCCGGAAAGTTCGCCGGAATGATTTAAATCCGACTTTTTAACCACCTGGCCTTGCCCATTTCGACCCGATACCGATCCAGACGAGCTGGAGCTACTGCTCGTAGTAGTAGTTGTCGTCGTAGTGGTAGCAGTGGCTCCACCACGAGTCCTCAACGGCGAGACCGGCGAACCCAGATCGAGTTCTCGAAAGTCCGGCTTGTTAAAGTTGTTATCATTATCGTCTTCGACACAGTTCAATGAGTTTCTTAACCGATCATTCAAGGAATCCAACCTAATATCCGTAATGGGTTTTCCAGACTGAGCCATTTTTTTCAATCTTTACTCCCCTCAATCCACACACACACACACTGTCTCTCTCTCTCCCCCCCCCCCTGCAAAATTTCCTACGATATACAACAAATGTGCTTACTCTTTCCCCTTTTCCACCTCCTTCCTCTCAAGTCTCAGTCTTTGAGCAATGTTAAACGGTGGAAGTAAATAGGACGCAGCAATGGAAGAAGAAATAATTAGAAAGAGAAGTTTTTGAAGAAGACATGAGAGAAAGGAAATAGGGGAAGTAAGGAGAGAGAAAAGAAAAGAGATGGGGATCTCGTGATTCAAAAGGAGGAAGCAAAGAATGAATGTGAATGTTTAGAGAGTAGATAGATAGAGAGAGAGATGGGGTTTTGCAGAGGTGAGAGTTGAAGAAGGGGAGAATAGTATAGTTAGAGGATGAAAGAAAGGGAAAGGAAAGAAAAGAAATTTTTTGGGTTTTTCGTTTTCCTAATTTTCTTTTGGGTTGTTCTTTTCTTTCCTTTCACCTGCTGCTTCACGAGACAGCTCTGGTTGGCTACTCTCCTCCCACTCTCTCGCTCTTGTGTATATTAAGGAGGAGGGGGACTTTAGGGAGTCGTCTTCTCTTTTTTGCTCCCCTATTTACTCTTCTTTTCTTTCCTTTCCCTCTCTCTCTCTCTTGTATTATTATTATTCACCTTGCTTGCTTTGGGGACATGAATTTTGTAACAAGAGTGAAATGAAAGGCCATACAAATTCACTGCACTAGCTGCCCTCTTTCTTTCTTCCACTCTTTTCTTTGCTCTTTATTTCTTGGACGGGATATCTAAACGATTTTATTGCACTAAACCTAATCAAAGATTTTGGTTTTATAACTTAAAGATTTTGCTGTGGAGTCTTATAACACTTAAGTTAGGAAGATCAGTATAATTTTCAAAGTGGAAATGGAAGATTAGTATAATTTTCAAATTGTACAATGAAAATTCAATGCTTGCTCAAATTTTTTGACGAACAATATGTGTAAGCTAATATATGAATATTTATATGTAAATTGAATGCAGTTTATACGCGACAAATTCATGAATAAGAATCCATATATGTAAAATTAATATACATTTTTTTAAAATTTTTTGCTAGTAATTAGATACATTTGTGACTAATTGGCATTCAAAGCTAAATTTTAATCACTGATTTTGTCATTTATCGGATACATTAAGTACATGTTTGACATTTATATACGTACAAAAATATCGAAAGAACAAAATCGTTAAAATGGATTTTAGTTTAATTCCTTTTAAGATGACGTTGACAATTTCTTTTGACAAATGACACATGTAAATGAGTATATACAACAAAATTTATTAATAGGTAAGTGTCAATATATGCGAACTCAAGACAATTGTATAATGTAAATGTTAATATAGGTAATGAAGAACAAAATGTCTTTGATTGACTTTAAGTTTTGCATGTCTAATTACAACTTACGAGTAATAATGTCAATGGTTTTAATGATATATCAGCAAGTATGAAAGTATGGCAGTGGTAAGATGAATATTTGAGATTTTAATGGAGGTGGTTATCAAATAAATCTCCATCTTTTAGTACTGTGGAGTGTCTCACTCATAATTTGAATAACATTTTCCCCCTTTTTATCTTGTTTTGAGTTGGGAGCTAAATAGTTTCACTTTGAAAGCATAAAAAAAAAAAAATTTCTCATGTTTGATCCATTTAGACCTTTTTAATCAATACATTGAAAAAACTAGTAAATATACTTTGCATTATAATTCATGTTATACAATTTTAGCATTATAGTTCATTTTTGTATTGGATACGTCTTAATGAAGATGGCAAAAATATAATTGAATGAATAACTACATAATTGAAATTCAGGTAATTCCTAGATCTAACCAAATCAATTTAGTCAAGAAATATACATATATATATAACTAAATTGATATGTTTCAACAAAAGTAAAAAAAGAAAAAATATGAAAAACGAAAGAATCAAATGCATTCTTTTTATACTGAACTTTTCTAATATTTCAAATAAAATTATTTCTTGGGTTAATCTTGCATTTTCCTACATCTCTCCATGTCCAGTTTAATGCACAAGTACATTATTGCATTATTTTGTAGGATTTTCCAATTCTGCAATTGTGACTTCCAAAACCTATCAGACATAGAATCCAGAGTCTAAAAACCTTGTCGAAACATATTATTCTGTGACAGTTGGTGCTCAAAAACCTCAACGGAATTGGTAGGTAATAAGGCTATATAGCTATAGTAGTTTTTAAAAAAATATATATATACACTGTCACTGTCAGTCAGTGTATGAAAAAATAATCTATAATAGTTGTAAAAATATTGAGCATATCCAGGTAAAAGTATATAGTGACAGAATTAGGAAAAAAGAAAAGCATAATCACTTGATCAGTGGACATTAATTTTAATTAGGGTGTATATCTTCTCTCTTTGTACGCATGGATTGCTAATACTTTCCTTTTATTTCACATCTTATCTAACAAACAAATGCTAAACCATTACGTTTCCTTAAATTAAACAATTACCTATCCAATTTAGCTGGTTTTCGATCTTCGATTGCAATATTTATTTGATATGGTATAAACTGACGTGGCCAGTATAATTGTCAAATTGAAATTATAGGGTCCTACGCCTTAAAGACAAGTTTTTTTTTTTTTTTTTTGGAAGAAAAAAATAGGTCTGTGCTTATCCACGATAGTATCAGTTTCCATGTGGAAATTGATGCTATCATCACATACCAAACCATGATTTGTTAAGCTTCTAATATTAATCTTCTTTAGAATAGCAAGGGTTGTTTGCTGACGTGGCGGTGCTAATATTTCGCGCATTGTGGAATTTCAAAGAATTTTAATGTGATCTGATCCCCAAAGTTACAACACATCTCGTTAAAGTTAATACTCCCTCCGTCCCGTTTTGTTAGTCTTGTTTTCCTTTTTCGTCTGTCCCAAATTGTAGTCCACTTTCCCATTAAGTAATGTAGTAATCTTTCAAATTGTCTAAAATACCCTTATTAAATATCTTGTTATTAATACATTATTATTAAATACTAACCCACTACATTGAATACATTGAACTTTTCCAATACATAGATAAATAAAAAGTCTATCTTTGTTATTCTTTGAAATTTATTTATATCAGGAGGGAAACAAATAATGCCATCATTATTTACAAAATCATGAGTGAAAATTTGAAAAACCATCCATATTCTCACAATTTTTCTGATGAAACACCAACAAAAGAATACGATCTCATCTCAACGAGTCAAGAATGTGCACAAGTTGTCTTTGAAATGCAGAGGATTTTTTTGCCCAAGTTGAAATCGGTGAAGCCATCAATTGACGTAAATGTTCCATCACAAGAAGATAGTTTTGCTCCTACAACTGAAGAGTATGAATCTACTTTTTCTCAAGTGCAAGAATATTTTCAGCCCAAGTTCAAATCGGTGAGACCATTATTGGATTTAAATACTCTACCAAAAGAAGATGGCTATGTATCTGCTTCTCAAGAACTTGAGCGTGTTGTTTCTCAAATGTTGAATCCACTATTGGCGGATGATTGAAAATGAAATGGAGTATTAGGCGCCTGAAATGGATTATGAAATGGAGTATTAGCCGCAACTAATACTTATTGGCACTATTGGCGGTAATTGAAACAATCAGGGTGCACTATTGGCGGTAACTGATATTTATTGGCACCATTAGCTGTAACTGATATTAATTGGCACTCTTCGTGATTAGCATAAGGGTATTTTAGGAAATTATTAATCTAAATTTATGTTTCCAACCAAATTAATTACACTTTCTTAATCTGTGTGAAAAAAAAATCAAGACTAACAAAACGGGACGGAGGGAGTACAATGGAATTGTCATCGTGAGCAAGAGAAACTAAAATCTAGTTTGGAAAGGTATTTTCCAACAAAAAATTTCTACGTTTTTCGCGAACACATTTATCAATCATCTTTTCACCTCATATATATCAAATTCCTACATTACATTCTCTACAAAACTTTCAAAACATTGGTGAGAAATTTCGCTGTCTTTCCTAAACATTTTCCAAAAGGACGTAAATACAAATGACTTATTAGTTTCATTCTCCAAAAAAAAAAAAAGAGAAAGCCTTTGCTTATCTATTGCTAGATGTTTATTTGAAATATTATTTGGAATAATTACTGTAATACTTTTTGTGATGTGATGTATGTGGGATAAAAAAGTGGTTGGGAATATAAAAAGGTGGGCTAGAAAATGTGTTTATGATGCAAGCAAAATATTATTTGGGATAAATTTACTATCCAAACAAAGATATTTTCCTCCATAAATTTACTATGCAAGCGAAAATGTGTTTAAAGTTGCTCTATGCAAATTACTTATATTCTCTACCTTTGCTTTTCAATTCCTTGTTTAATTATATATGTAGAATTTATTTATGACAAAAAATTTAAAAAAGAGAAGAAAAACAGGGAAATGAAGGAAAAATGAGAAATTTTATCGGGCATTTTTGAAAAATTTTACTATAACAGTGTATACGAAAATTTTTTAATATAAAAAATTTTTAAAATATTTGATATATTATATAGATAAAATATTTTTTAAAATTTTAAAATTTTTATATTATCGTGACATCGTATTTAGAAAAATTTGTTTTTAAAAAAAGGTCAATCCTAACGGACATGTTGCAACTTGCAAGTGGTAGAAGATTAGTTCAGAGTTCAGACAAAGCACATTGCAAAGTGGCAGCGACTCGTGGGTTCTCCCGCAGCGAACAATTACGAGCACTGTAAATGGGGACCCACATGTCCCGGTAATTAGCTACTAATTGGCAGATGGCCCATTTTGCAACAGTTTACATGCACAACACCGAATCATTTCTCCCCTATGTTCTTGCAAATTTCCATATTTTCTGGAAATTATTTTTCTGGATTCCTGTACTTTCTAGATTTCCACTTTCGCACGCAAGCCAGGAGCTAACACAAGATTTTGAGGGGCCCAAAACCAATTGCCCAAACTACCCAATCCCATTGCGTGTGAATTTTCATTTTTACCACCATTTTGGTCCTTGATCCACGAAATTGGCCGAGAATGAGGTAATACTACTACTGCTGCTGCTACTATGTTTGTACAGTAGATTATTTGGAAAAACTTTGTGGGATAATATTTGGATTAATCTCTGTTATTTTAATAATATATATATATTAACAGATTCAAATGCATGGCATGTCATTTTAATTTAAATTTAAATATCAAATTTCGCACATATAGTATGATGCATTTAGATCATTAGTA